GAAGAAGAAGAAGAAGAAGAAGAAAAAAGAAAAAAGAAAGAAAGAAAATAGGAAAAGAAAATATACAAAAATGTTTTTCCAATTCTCTTAGGTATGGTAACGAGCGCATTGATATGGGGATATCTAGCCGACGTGAAAGGTAGAAAATCAATTTTAATTTATGGTTTTATGGCCGACGGAATATGTAACGTATTGTCAGGATTTTCGCAAAATTTCGCAACTCTCGTGTTCTTTAAATTTCTCAGTGGATTCATGTAAGTTGAAGAAAAAAGAAAAAAAAAAAATAATAATAATAATAATTAAAACGATTTAACGATATTATTCTCAATATGTAATTATCAATTGAATTTCATTCATTAATATTTGATTTTTAGAATAAGCGGACCGTACGCCGGAACGATGTCATATTATTCCGAATTTTATGGTGCCAGCGTTAGATCGAGGATTACGCTTATTGTCGGCTTCACTGTTACGGCTGGATGCGTTATGAATTCAGGTAAATTTAATCGTAACTAATCAAAAAAAAAAAAGAAAAAAAAAAAGAAAAAAAAAACAGGAAAAAAAAGACAAAAATATATATACACACATACACACACACACATACGTTAAATTATCACGCCAAGAATTATATTATCATTTTCGATGATACAATATACGTATGTGTTATATTTCAACATGTATCTATATATGTATATATATATATATATATTCTTAGGTCTTGCTTGGCTGGTTGTACCACAAAATTGGTCGATCGAACTTTGGGATGGTTATTTCGTATATAATTCTTGGAGAATATTTTTATCTTTGTGCGGTGTACCAACATTGATCGGTGTATTCCTGATATCATTTTTCCCGGAGAGTCCGAAATTTCTTATGAGCCAAGGACGTAAAGAGGAAGCTTTGAAGGTTTTCCGACAAATTTATAGAATGAACACTGGCAAACCAGAGGAGGATTATCCGGTAAATATTTTAACATTGTATTATAAATTTATCTATTTTTTTTTCTTTCTTTATATATATATATATATATAAAGATATATCTTTATATATATATATATATATATATATATATATATATATATATATATACATATATAAATCATTAATTTCTTTGTTCCGTAATAATTATCAAAATTTTCTTTAATTTTTATTTCTATTAAATTTTTATTTGTTACTTTTTTTTTTCTTTTTTTTTTGATTCGAACGATCATCACGCGTACGTTTTTTTTTTTTCAATTTTTCAATTTTATCTCTTTTCATTTTCGTGATACGTAAATCATATTATATATTTAGATAAACGAATTGGCTGACGAGTTCGAGATGAAAAATTTTACGGACATTTCTACGAGAGATACGATCGTTCCAGCTAAGAGAACATTCAAAAGTGGTTTACTTCAAATGAAACCAATCTTCTTCAAACCGTATATATTCAGATTGGTTTTGATCCTGACTCTACAATTTTGCAGTATGCTCGCGTAAGTTGTTTACAGAAATCTATAGACGTAATGTCTAGCTAAGTTAAATCTACATACAAATATGTAATATTGTCATACCGGATATAAAATAGGAGAGAAAGAGAGAGACTGATAGATCGAGAATGAGAGAGAGAGAGAGAGAGAGATAGAGAGAGAGAGAGAGAGACAGAGAGAGAGAGAAAAGTCACTAATACATAGATATTTCATTCAACAAACAAACATTAATTTACGATCTAATTGTATATCATGAATAAATTTTCCATTTCAAAATTTTTTTCTTCCTGAATCATAAAAAAATTTCTGTCTCTCTTTGTCACCGTCTCTACTTCTGATAATAATTAACTATTTTATCTTAATAAACTGTTTATCTTTTTATCTCTTTCTGATAACAATCCTTACTATTTCTTTTCCTGTTTTCTTCCTTTTCGTTTCACTTTTTCGTTTAATTTTTTCTTTTTCTTTTAAACTTTTTTTTTTTTTTTTTACAGTCTCAACACAATACGATTATGGCAGCCTCAACTTTTCGCGATATTGCAAGACTTCAATCCAATCGATTTCAATATTACCGATCACGAGCCAGCATTTTGTGAAATATTGGATGCCGTCACTTATTCGTCAGCACAGAATGCAAACTTAACTAACAATATTATCGAGGCGACAAATTGTTCGAAGGTAAGTTAAGATTAATTGAAGAAGGAGTTTTAAGGGGAAAAGAAAAAGAGAAGAAAGAAAATAATAATAAATAAAGAAAAATAAACAAACAAACGAATAATCGTTTCTCTTATTTCTTTATTCTTTTTTGTTTCTTTTTTTTTTTTTTTTTTTTTTATCTTAGATCGTGATACCGGAAAGCATGTATATAGATTCGACTATAGTTTCGACAGCTGCGATATTTTTCCTCTTCGTCGCGAGCATGTTCGTGACTTTATTGGGCCACAAAAATCTTTTATGTGAGTAGTCAAGAAATAAAAAAATTAAAACAATTAAATAAATTTGATTTGCATTATAAACAAAAAAAAAAAAAAGAAAAAAAAAAGAAAACAAAAAATTAATTCTTTTGATCATTTTGCAGACATTTGTTACACGGTATGTATCTTATCGCTGATATCAATAACTTGGTCGACGAGTTATTTATTGACATTGGGATTGACCTGCCTCTTCGTCGGTATAATGATGACAACATTGAACATTGTAGTAGGGGCCACTGTACTTTTATTCCCAACTTCATTAAGGTATCATTTATATTGTATTTTTTTTTTTTTCTTGCTTTTTTTCCAAATGATAGAGAACGATTATAGCAGAACGATTTGATTATGTTCCATTGGTTTTTTGTCTTTTAATTTTTTTCTTTCTTTCTTACTGTTTTTTTTTTTTTTTTTTTTTTTTTTTTTTTAATAGAACGATGGCAGTAAGTTTGGTAATGATGATAGGAAGATCTGGATCTCTGATCGGCAATGTCGTGTTTCCGGTATTGCTCGAGTACGGATGCATAGCTCCGATCATGACGATAGCTTGCTTTCCCCTACGTAAGTATTCATCTTCTTTTGGTTACAAGACCCTTAATATTTCTTTTTTTTTTTTTTTTCGTACGAATTCAAACAAATGTCAGCATATAATTTATTATATTTATCATCATCTATGTACTTCTTTCCTTTCAGTTGGTATCGTATTGGCATATTTCATACCAAACAGTAAGAATAAAAATGAGAAAAATGTCGAGTCTGGATCATAAATAAAAAACGCGAAAAATAAAAAAGAGAGAGAGGGAGAGAGAGAGAGAGAGAAAGAGACAGAGAGAGAACAAAATAGAGAAAAGTAACGATATATATATATATACATATATATCAATGATCGAAAGTTAGATATTTGTCTTATTAATCGGAATTAGTAATGAAATTTTACGATTATGATGAATATATGATCGAGGAAAACGATTATGAGCAATTAAAAAGACGAAACGAAACACTGACGATCCGATACGGGTTCGTTTCGAAAGAAGACAAGAATTATCGTTCAGAATGGATCTGTTTTTTGTTTTTTTTTTTTTTTTGGGAAGAAGGGGAGTGGGTGGGGAGGACTGGAGATCGACGAGCGTATTTTTTGTTCCTTTTTTTTTTTTTTTATTTTTCTTTCGTATTAGAATCGAGTCGAGACTTTAGCATCAAAGAGAGGAGAATAGGAATGGACACAATGAGAAGATTGAGAGCAGAGAGTGCAACACGTACGAACGGAGGCCTTGGGTTTCACTTTCGACACATCCTGGAGAGCCCTCCAGCCTTCACCCACATGCTCGCTCTCCTCTATCCTTTTTCTACACCTTCTTCTTCTTCTTCTTTTTATTCATCATCTTTTGCTTCCTCTTCTTCTTCTTTTTCTTCTTTTTCTTCTTTTTCTTTTTTATTAATCGTCATCATCATCATCATCATCTTTTTCTTCTTCTTCTTTTTCATCGTCATCCAATCTTCTCTTCGTAATCGCAAGTAAACGTTTCTTTTTTTTTTTAATTTTCCAATATCAATTGGAACTCGTTATACTCGCGCGTGTATATACAGGATTGGTCAAAATGTTCCTAGGTAATGTTATAAAAATTAATTACTATGTTTTTTTGCTCCTTTTATTTTTTTTTCTTTTCTTTTTATTTTTCTTCTTCTTTTTTTTTTTTTTCTTTCTTTTCTTTTTCTTCTTCTTCTTCCTCCTTCAGATTACAGTAACATTAATCTAGGAACTTTTGAGAGTTTACCTAGGAATTTTTTTTTATGTGTACATATATATACATAAATATATATGTATGTATATATATATATATATATATATGTGTGTATGTGTGTGTAAGTGTGTGTGTACGTTAACGTTATATACGAGTTAGACGTAAGTTATAGGCTATATATATTAGATTATGTTTAGAAATTGATTAAGAAACGTTTGAAAAATGAATAAAAATATATAAAGATTATATATTTTTTTTCTTTTTTTTTTTTTTTTTTTTTATTTGTAGAGATTCGTAGAGAGATATTAATAATGTATTTTTAGAATATATATATTTATATATATATACACGATCACTCGTCGAATATCTAATCCATCGTAATCGTACTATAATCGATTAGAGAGAAGGATCGATTAGAAGAAAATGAAAAAGAAAATTCCAATCCACGTATAGATCGTGGCAATTGATAATTAAAAATTTCTAGTCAATGTATACCGTGCCTCCCCAATCCTCAATTCTTCGCCCTCCCCTCTATTTACAAAAAGCCCGTCCACCCCCTTCCCTTTTACCCGATGCGAAATAATACTTTATCAGGTAGTTCTTTCCTTTTTTTTTTTTTTTTTTTTTCTTTTTTTTTTTTATCTCTCCTACGGTTCTAATCGTTTCCTACAAATTGTAATTAATTAATTGTAATCACCGATGAAATATTGTAATTATTGTATTATTATGATAGATAATTATTCGCTCGTTCGTTCGTTCGCATGTATGTATTAACGATTAGGATAAGTTAATTAAAAAAAGAAGAAGAAAAAAATACAAAAAAAAAAAAGAAAAATACAAAAATAAATAAATAAATAATGAGAAAATGCAAAATATTTCTATTATATCCAATTATCGTTTTTCTCTCTTTAATATCCCTCATACATATATATATATATATATATATATATATATTATATACATAGATATACATACATAAATATATAAATGCATAATAGGATGGACCGAAAAAGTTTCCAAGTGATATTAATAATCAATTATTTTTCTTTCGAAATATTCTAGGTAGGCATATAATTGGGCATGCCAGTTTTACGATTTGAGCTTGTAGTTTTACGATCTGAAAAAGGGAAGGATAAGGAAAGAAAAGAAAAGAAAAGAAACGAATGAAAGAAAGAAAGGAATTAGCCCAAAATTTCTTGAAGAAAAGAATAAGATAATTTTTAAAATATCACCGAGATATTTTTGATTATTACCAAAGAAATACACGCACATATATATATATATTTCTTTTGTTTTTTTTATTTTTCTTCACTTTCTTCTACGACTAGAGAAACATTATCACGTTAAATCGTCTAATCTTTTTTCTAGGATTTCTCGAATTTTTCATAATACATTTTCAATTTGTATTTCTAATGAAAATCAAAAAAAAGAAAAAAGAAAAAAGAAAAAGAGAAAAAGAAGCACACATACACACACACACACACACACACACACTCACATTCCTATGATTCCAACGTTAGAATTTCTTCATTCATTCCAAGAAAAACGTCGAATTGCCTTAAATTCACAAAACAAATGTTTTCTACATCATTATAATAGAACATATTCTATTTGTTTACATTCCTGAAACTTATTACGAAAGTTTTTATAAAACATTCAATTACATCCTGTATTTACATACATACATACATACATACATACATACTTACATACATATAAATGGTCATATACTCACGTATAATATCCAGTTTAGCGTATATAATAAACGAGTTTCTAATTCGATCTCGCGGTGTAGAATAACTTCGGTCCCATTATAAACGCATCGAAAGGCGCAAAATCGTTAGATAAACGGGTGATCATCGTAGAGAAGGCAACGAACCGATTGAAAGGAACGGAAGTGGCAGATGCTTGCTCGATGAGAAAGGTTTTCACAGGAGGAGCACCGAGATAACAGTAACGTCTCGATAAAGATAGTAACTCTCTTTCTATCTCTCTCTCTCTCTCTCTCTCTTTTTCTCTCTTTCCCTCTCTTTATCTTTCATTTCTTCCTCTTTCTCTCTCTCTTTCTCTCTCTTTCTATTTCTTAACATTGACTTACCCACGCATATTTTGTCTTTTTTTTTGATATACAATTAAGTAGATAGAAGAGATGAAGAGAAAAAGAGAGAGAGAGAGAGAGAGAGAGAGAGAGAGAGAGAGAGAGAGAGAGAGAGAATGATCGGACAGAAAAGCATCCGTGAAATCGCGATATGACGATTACTACGTCCGTAAAGAATCATTAGATCGTTAGAGAAAGAAAAAAAAAAGAGGAGGAGGGGAGGTGTCTCTCACGAGATCCGATCTCGTCTTCCCTTTGTCTTCTTTTTTTCTTTTTTTCTTTTCGTTTTCGTTTTCGTTTTCTTTTTATCCTTTTTTCTTTTTTCTTTTTTTGAAATATTTTTTTTTTTTGTTATCCTTCTCCTCGTCGTAAACTTTCAAGCATCGTCGTGAGTGCGTACATTTTTTTTTTTTTGTGTACATATATGAATATGTATGAGTATTGATATAACGAAACAATGTTATCCTTTAACTCATACGTTCCCGATGTTCGATCAATGCAACGAACATGAAAATTGTTCTTGTAAATTTTTTTCGTTTCTTCTTTTTTCTTCTTTTCTTTTCTTTTTCTCTCTGTTCTTTTTTTTTTTTTTTTTTTTTTTTTTATTATTATTATTATTTTTTTTTTTTTTACAATATTCTTATCTACGACACGGATAATAAATATTTACGTATGCATTTATCTAACAAAGATAATTGTCTTATCGTTATTGGACATCAGCGAGAATTTTATCGCTCGAACTCGTTGCAACGTTTATTATCGATATGTTACGAATTTTTTCTTTTTTTTTTTTTTCATGTGATAATGATAAGGAGAGAATGAATAATCGACTTTTTTTTTCCTCTTTTCTTTTTCTTTTTCTCTTGTTTTCGATGCTACTGCGATATCTGCTAGTCGTTTGTCATTGATCGACGATAAAGATTTAATAAAAATTGTATGATAAAGATTGAAAGACAAAAAGAAATTTTGTTTCTTTTCAATTTGCTCTTCGGAAATTGATAAAAAGAAGATGACGAAGAAGTTGAAGTAGAAGAAGACGAAAAGAAAAAAATACAAAAGTAATATATACATATCTGTGAGTCACGTGATAAGCGTGGGAAAATAGAAGATTTAATAGTTCGAATTATTCCACGAATTTAATTAACCAGATTGAGTTATAGTTTTGTATCGACGAGAGAGCCAAGAACGAACCAATTGTTTCTCATAATCTTTTATTCTGTCGTTATTTTTTTGTTCTCTTTTCTCTTTCTTTCTTTTTTCCTATTTTTTCTTATTTCCTTCTTCTTTTTTCTCTCTTTTTTTTTTTTTTTTTTTTTCGTTTCAATTCAAACGGGATAAAAAAAGAGGACGAATTTAGTTCACGGCATTAATCCAACTATCGATACTTTCTTTCCTCCTTCCCCCCGCCCCTCCTTCTTTTTCTCTCTTTTACATTATTCCATTTCATTCTTTATCCTTTATCCTTCGTCCTTTATCTTTTAGCTTTCTTTCTTTCTTTCTTTTTTTTTTTCTTTTTTTTTTTTAAATTGTAAAAATCGAACATCATCGAACTCGTCACGGAGTATGATCGATTCTCCAAAGGTTACGCTTCTATCTTTTCCTCAATTCTTATTCTTATTCTTATTCTTATTTTTATTCTTATTCTTATTCCTATTATTCATCGTTAATGAGTCGAGGAACGTTCGAGGTCAGTGACAAAAGTCGTTGCGGTTGCAGTCATTCTCCTATAATCTCGGAGGCTGCTTCTTCAGTGTCGGTGGATGACCGTTCCTCCTCCACTCCTCCTCCACCAGCTCCTTTACCATCACATCCTCCTCCACCTTCATCTCTTCCTCCTTCTCCTTATTCACCTCCACATTTACACTACCATATCCTTTCACGAACGATGAGTCACTTTCAACGTGCGCTTCATCGCTCCCTTCAAATACGCCTATTAACCGGATGCTGTGCTGTGACGTAAACAGACGTAATTATCGAAAGTAACGAACTGTCTCTTTCTATGGATATATTTTTTTTTTTTTTTCATTGATCTTTTATCTCATATACTTATTCACATCTGATAGGATTCCATTTCTTTTATTTTTTTTTTCTTTTTTGTTTCTCCTCTCTCTCTCTCTCTCTCTCTCTCTCTCTCTCTCTCTCTTTTTCCCTGCATAAATTAATTTTTTTTCTTCGGAAAAAATTTTTTTTCTATCTCCATTATTATCATCGATATTAAGATGAAAATATTAATTTTTTTATTTGAACAAAATTTTCTTCTATATATATATATTTTTTTTTTTGCTATATATATATATATATATATATATATATATATACATACTTATAAATGTTCATACTAATACTTATTCTTTCTTATAATACTTCTATACTTATATTATTATAATACTTCTAATACTTATTCATACTTATAAATGTTCATCATATATGTATGTATACATATGTATACATACATATATATATATACTTGCTTTCTTGCATTCATTCACATCTGAAAGGATATTTTAATTTTTTTTCTCTCTCTCTCTCTCTCTCTCTCTTTCTATCTTTTTCTCTCTTACACAAAATTTATTATCATTGATATTAAAGACGGCAAATTTATTAATTTCCACGTAAAAAGAAATGAAAAGAAAAGAAAAGAAAAGAAAAAAAATGTTCTTGTCTCTAGATATATTTTTTTCTTTGATTTTATCTCTTACACTTATTCACGTCAGAAAGGATTTCATTTTCTTCCTCTCTCTCTCTCTCTCTCTCTCTCTCTCTTACACACACACACACACACATACACACGAAACTTATCATTACTTATTAATCAAAACGATAAATTAACAAATATCTCCGTTTACGAAAATATCAAAAGGAGAATAAAATTTATTCTATTCAAATCTTTCGAAACGATTCTAATTAATTTCAATATAATTAACGTAAGATCGTTATTTCGTAATAATATCTTTAAAAACAGGAATAAAAAGGGAGTTTGAAAAGAAAGAAAGAAAGAAAGAAAGAAAGAAAGAAAGAAAGAAAAAAAAAAAAAAAGAAAAGTAACAGACGTGTTATGTCCTTGTATATACGAAGTTGTTATCACGCTCGAGGGAATACGCGTTATAGAAGCTAGACGAATAATTTCTAAGATTGATCACAAAGAATGACGAAGAAGACGAAGAAGACGAAGAAGACAAAGAAGACGAAGAAGAAGAAGAAGAAGAAAGAAGAAAGAAGAAGAAGATCGAAATGTTGGGTGGATAGTTAATGATAAATGCGCAATCGATTGCATGACAAAAAGTAACGGCAGTCGATGAAGTCACGGACCGTGACGTAAATTAATTCTTTCTTCTCTCTCCGTTTCACTTATACTTTGAACAATCGACTATCTCGCTTTCAAACTGTCTCACGGCCTCGATGATCCGTCGCTGCGTCTTTAGATCCAATGAACCGACTAAAACACAATGGCATCGACGTCAACGACATTTTCATTCAATCAAAAAATTTTCGATTTAGTTACTTTAGTTGCAAATCTTACGATGTGAAACAAAGCGATAGAGATAGATAGATAGATAGATAGAGGGAAAGAGAGAGAGAGAGAGAGAGAGAGAGAGAGAGAGAGAGATTTATGAACATTTATAATTAACAAGTTAACGTTTTAATTAGCGTGATACTGATTTATACACACATACTCTCGTGTATATTCTCATACACGCGTACATAGATCAGCTCGACGATCCTTATCGTTTTTTTTTTTTCTTTTTTTTGTATTCTTTATATCTCTTTTTTCTTTTTTCTTTTTTTTCTTTTTTTTTTTTTTTACTTCGAACATTACGAAATGATTTAGTAACGGAAACGAGCCACAACGCATCGGAGAGGGGCATGGAGTGGGGTGGGAAAGAGGGTGAGGAGAGAACGCGTGTTTTCTTGTAGTTACATACTTAGGTACATATTTATATATATATATATATATATGTATGTATTTATCTATGATATAATACGATTGTTATAAATTCACGTTAATTATTATAATTAAATTAATTATAGTTTGATATTAATCTTGAAAATATCGTGTATTAAAATCTAATTTATTTATTTGTTATCAGTAATAACAAACTCAATAAATGTTTTACATTTATTAAGTTTTATTAAGACATTAAGAAACACAAACGATTCGTTCTAATCTATGATATCAATTATATATAAGAGAAATAAATACTGATTATATAATTATTCGTTGATTTAAAAAAAGGAAAGAAATGAGAAGAAAAAAAGAAAAAGAAATTATCTCGAGAAGCTTATTTCTTTTCGAGTAAATAATGAACTTGACCTAATGCAAATTCACGTAGATATGTAAATAAGCGAATACGTGCGTATGTAACGGATTCATAACTTTCATGATTTATGAATGAATTATGAAATATGACGTCAAACTTTCTCACTTTATACGTCGTTGAATTAAGGTAAGAGAGATGTGCACCGCTCGTATAATCGTACGTTATATAAATACATACATATGGTATATAAACGATGGATCGAAAGTTCTTCGAATGAGAATCATCGTAAATCGATCAATCTCTCCTTTGCGAAACATTTACTCGATTAATTATTTCTGTTTTCTTCTCCTTTTTTTTCTTTTTTTCTTTTTTTGCTTCTTCTTCTTCTTCTTCTTCTTCCCGTTTTGCATAAATCATATAGAAAATTATCTGTGATGAATTTTTCTTTACGATGTAAAAAAAAGGAGAGAAAAAAGAAAAAAAAAAAAGAAAAAAAAAGAAAAAACGAAAAATTAATTCAGAATTACGAACAAGTCGCGATAAAGAGTTCGATCTGTTTCGATTGATTTTTTCTTTCCTTTTTCTTTTTTTTTTTTTTTTTTTTTTTTTTTTTTTTATTAAGTCGTTCATCATGTAATTTCTTTTTCGATCGAAAGAGTAACCAACTTTAGATATACAATCTTTAATATGTACACATATCATATGTATATAACTATGTATGTACGTATGCTATGTATATATATATATATATATATATATATATATGTATATGTATGTATATGTTAATATATATGTCTCCTGTATGATCTATGTTGTGATCGCGTCGTCAAGTATTTTTTCATTTATGTAGTTGCCTATGTAAATGAACGTACTATCCGCAAGTATCTACCGCTAGGACCGCTATGCCAGTCCTGGAACCGTGTGAATCCTTGCTCCTTACCGTTCTTACCTTCTTTCTCGCGCCTCTCTCTCTCTCTCTCTCTCTCTCTTTCTCTCTCCTTCTCTTTCTCTCTCATTCATTCTTCTCACCACACCACCACACCATACCAGACCTCACCTCACCATACCTCACCACACCTCACCACTCACTTCGTCTCACTCTCTTTCTATTTAAACCTATCTCCGTCTCCGTCTCAATCTCTTTCTCATAAACTTTCCACGTCGGTTATCCTCTTCATTATCTCTCATCTTCTTATCCTCTTTTCTTCTTCGACCTTTTCTTTTCTTTACTCTTTTCCATCTCCACCTTCTTCTTCTTCTTCTTCTTCTTCTTCTTCTTCTTCTTCTTTTTCTTCTTCTTTTTCTTCTTTTTCTTCATCTTCTTATTCTTATTCCTCTTTCACTTTTTCCTACTTAATTCTTCCATTTCCTTCGTCTTTCTCAAGCAATTGAACTTAACCGAGAAATAATTCAAAGCCGTTTTTCGTTTATACGATCATCCTATCTTCCTTTCTTTCTTTCTTTCTTTCTTTCTTTTCTACCTTCTTTCCGTTTCTTTTCCACTACCTATCTATTCTAAGAGTCTTCTCTATATCTAAATAATTTCACAGTTATTTTTGTTATCAACAAAGTCCCGTGGGATTATCTTTCCACTATTTCTCATTTTTCCTTTTTTTCTTTTCTTCTCTTTTCTTCCTCTCTCCTTTCCTTCCTTTTCCTTTTTTCTCTTTCCTTTTTCATTTTTCTCCTTTTCTTTTTTCTCCTTTCTCCTTTTTTTTTTTTACTCTGACGTCTCAATGATCCACTGTATTAGCCCACTGTAACAATGCATCTATTTGAGATGCATTATTATTAAATTATTATTATTTAGATTATTAGGTAATTTTAATGATATCGATATAATTCATTGGAAATATATTGATTTATTCGTAATATTGTATATATGGCATTGGAGTAAATGAAAGAGATATAATTTTCTTTTTCACTCTCACTCTCTTTCTATTTCACTTTCTCTCTCTCTCTCTCTCTCTCTTTCTCTCTCTATCTTTTTTTAATAATTATACATAATTAATTATGTATAATTTATTATGCAGTTTTTCTGAGAATATTATTATTGAATACAAGTTGATAGATCGATTAGAAATTTAATAAAATTTTTGCAAATGTTATGTGTCATTGGGATAAGCGAAAAAAATATGTAATAAAATTTTCTCTATCTCACTATTTCTCTCTCTCTCTCTCTCTCTCTTTCTCTCTCTATCGTTCTCTTTTTCTCAGTAATTTATATCTGATCAATTATGTTAAATTAAAAATCAGAAGATTAGACGTTTTATGAAATATTGAAAATATTATTTAAATTTTCTTATGTAAACAAAATGAATAAAATTTGAAATAAAAATAAGAAGCGAAAAGAAAATTTTTATTACGATAAAAAATTCTTTCTCCTTTCATTTTTTTTTTTTTAAATAAAATTTTTCTCTCTCTCTCTCTCTCTCTCCCTCTCACTCTCTCTCTCTTTCTTATCGATTATACTTACCGATCGATAGAGATCGAATAACGACGAAGATTAAGCTTCGAACTTGTCGACGATCGATCGATCATCCATTTATTTTGATGAATGAGAATAAACAAACTTCATGTTGTTAACAATCAAACGTGAAAATAGGTTAGTGATATTATATCATATTATATTATCTAATATTTAGAAAGTTTTATTATCTTGGTGTTAGAGAGATTCGATTTTTTCAGAAGACATTTAAGAGGATTGACGTTAGAAAGAAAAATTAGAAAAGTCCCGAGGCTTGCTATACTACATTATAGCACAACCGTTCACTCGTTAGCCTAAGTCCCGAGACAGTGGAACGCTTCTATTTTTTCTTTCTTTCTTTCTTTCTTTTTTCCTTCCTTCCTTTTTTATTTTATTTACTATTTTTTTTTTTAATTTTTTATATACACATACACACACATATATATATATATATATATATATCTATTTTTTTTTATCTTTTTATCTTTTTATCTTTTCTATCCCATGACATTGTGTGTCATGAAGTAGCTATACTTCTCTTTCTCTCCATCTCTATCTCGCGTGACGGCGCGTACCAATCCGACAGCTGTCCATGTCAAATCCGTAGCGCATCACCAACTAGGTAGAAAGAGAGAGAGAGAGAGAGAGAGACAGAGAGAAAGAGAGAGAGAGAGAGAGAGAGAGAGAAAGAGAGAGTAACCAACGTCTCAATATTCGGTGGGACAAGGACAGAACTAAGTTACGCGCGACGTCAGCGAAATTGAAAATTGCATTCTCAGGTCGAGAATCCTTTTCGGTCATTAAGCCACTTCCTTCTTCTTCTTCTTCTTCTTTTCCTCCTCCTTCTTCTCCTCATTCTTCTCCTTCTCCTCCTTCTTCTCCTTCTTCTCCTCTATTTCTTCTCCTTCGTCCTTCTCCTCTCCTTCTTCACTCATCTTCATCTTACTTATCCTACTAGCTCACTTTTCTTTTGTCTTATGTCCTTTTGTCGGCATTTGTCGTGTTACAAAACGAAGGGATTGTTTCCAAAGTGGGTGGGCTTAGGGTCAACGAAAAGACAGAGAAGGAAAGAAGAGAAAGGGTGACGGTGAGAGAGGAAGAAAATAAAGGAGAATCATTTTGATTCCTTTTATTCACAAATCCACCAAAGCGACGTCGTTCACGTTTTCGTCGTCGGCATCCTCGTCGTCTTTAGCGTCTTTGTCGTCGTCACTGTCGTCCTTGTCGTCGTCGTCGCCGTCACCGTGGTCGTCGTCGTTGTTGTCGTCGTCGTCGAGTCTTTTTTGTCTCGCTTCGACGACTCCAATGACCCTGGATCGTCCCCATTCATTCGAAGGTGAAAACACTTCTGAAATCGTAACAGAGATTTAACATTGGCTCTCGACTTGGGTGATGGGTGAGTCCTTGAGACATTTTTAGCTTCATTTTTTTTCTCTTTCTGTTTCCTTTTATTCTCTTTGTTTATTCTCTTTGTTTATTCTATTTTTTCTTCCTCCTTTCGTTAGTTTACAAATTTCTATTCGAGGATCGATGATTTAAAAGAGACAGGAAAATCATCCTGTATTTCAGATTTTAAGATTCTATGTTTTAATGATCTATCTTTTTATTTTCCTTACGACAAAACCGAATTGAGCTTGATGTTTTATTTATTTATTTATTTATTTATTTATTTATTTATTTATTTATTTATTGATTCTTTTTTTTTCGTTTATTCTTTTTTGTTTGTTTTAAATTTGACGAAGATAGCGATCGTTCTTTTTTTTTTTTTTTTTTTTTTCTTAAATCTGACCTAAATACGGCAGTCCCTTTTTAATCTAAGGAATATAGCGATTTTTTTCTTTTTTATCTTACGAAAATAGGATATTCTTTGTTCGATCTGACGAAAATTGTAACTTTATTATTATTATTATTATTATTTTTTTTTTTTTTTTTCCTTTATCTTTTTTCTTTCTTTCTTTCTTTCTTTCTTTTTGTAAATTGCCGGCAAAGACGGCAATTTTTTTCTCTTTCTTTGCCAGCCAACCGATTCACATAAGATCGATTTATTTAGTTCTGGCACGATAGAATTACACGGTGCTTTCGTTTTAGGAGACAGAAAATCGAGGGAGAAGATCGATTGTCCGAGGAGTAACAAGGAGAATTTCGAAGAGGATCGAGTACTATCGCCTATTGAAGAGGAATCGGAATCCTCGACGGAACAGTTGGTGGATTACACTACGAACGATCCCGAGGACGATTCTTTTTATCAAACGGCATGTTTCCGATACAAGGATTGCCGAAATGGTTTCCCGAAGAATTACGATCGAAAACGACAGGGCGACTTGTCTTTTCGTTCGAATCTACCAAGAAATGGAAAGAATTCGTCCTCCGGGGAAAGTACTTCTGGCGACGAACGAAATACAACATCGGGCAATAGTTGTTTTCAAATGTGCGATCGATCGAAATTAGGTAATATTTTTTTTCCTTTATTTCTTTCTTCCTTCTTGTCATATTCATTCTATTAATTCTTTTTTCAATTGTAATTAAATATTATATTATTTCAAATATAAATCTCTCGTAGAACGATATATTATAATGAATATAATATTATAACGGAATTAAAGAGAAAAGTATTCTTATGTTATAATTGAAATATATTTGAATTTTAATATCGTCATACGTTTCTTCTATAAATTTTGGAAAAATAAGCAGAAACAAAAAAAAAAAAAAAGAAAAACAAGAAAAAATATTAAACAAAAGTTATAATATATAAATCTCTATCTTTAAAATTTATAATATAAATTTTTAATTTATAATATAAATTTTAAAAATAGATTTAATTTAATATAAGATTTATAATATAAATCTATTTTTAAAATAAACGTTAGAAAGGATTAATATCAATCTTATATCCTACGAGTATAATTTTGAAATGAAATCCCGAGAAATATTATATTATATCTATATGAAGTTATAATATTATATTTAATTAAATATATAAAATATATCGTTTAATTAAATTGTCAATTATAACGTTGGATAAACTTTGAACGACGGACACGCATAAACGTATTGGTATAGTACGAATAACTCTCGAAATACGATGAGTCCGTCATTCATATCGATCAAAGAAAGGAAAAAGAAAAAAAAAGAAAAAAAAAAAGAAAAAAGAAAAAGAAAAACGATTAGCTTAGAAACATTGAAAATACTTTCGCGTATTAGAAACGGAAGCGTCCGGCGACAATGACGAGGGAGTACATTTTAATCCACTTGTGGAGAACTTGTCGAAGAAATTAAAATGGTTCGAAAATAGATTGTCGCAATGCGAGACGGAAATTATCGGTTTGAGAAAGCAATTTGGTTTGGAGAAGTTTCAAAATCGACGGTACGCCTTGCAGTGTTACGAGAAGCACGCGCAGACACAGAACATCCTGAAAAACGATCTACAGGCGTGGAAGAATAACTTAGACGCGAGAATCAAGGCGCAGATCGTCAGATGGCAACTGGATGAGAGGAAGAGGATCAGCGAAGAAATTGCCAAGGTCACTGGCATGTGTTCCCAGGTATATATGTATGTATGTATGTATGTACGTGTGTGTGTATATATAAATAAAATCAACTCGGCAAATATTTTTCCCACGTGCAAATGTTATTCATTTAACGAACGCCAATTGATGTACTCCAACGAGACATGAATTTTATTTTTTCTTTTTTTCCTCTTAAATGAATCTTCTTTTATTTAGTTATTTATTTATTCTTTCGTTTTTTTTTTCCCCACAATAAAAATATCAATGAATTTAAAAGGAGCATGGTTCTTTTTTTTTATTTCACTTTTCTTGACGTACACGAAATACGTACAAATAAAAAAGAATGAATGAACGAAAACATGAATGAACGAAAAAATGAATGAACGAATGGACCTTAGGAAATAACGAAGACATTGCAAAAGAGTATGAACGAGTGGCAAGAGAAAGATTCTCAAAAGATTACCGAATTGATCCAAAATGAGAAATTACGTCAAGACGTCGAGATGCAAAATATTAGAAAAGTTTATGAAAAGATACAGAAACATTTGCAGAATTTGGACAAACGTAATCGAAATTCATACGTGAATTTTCATAAGCAAATGGCCATTTGGGAGGAACGTTTAAAGGATGAAGTTATACGATTGCACGAGAACAGTTTGAAGGAATTTCGACAGCAACCAAAATTTTGGTAAATCTATTGTATCCTCTTTAATTCATCCTTCTTTATTTTATTTTATTGCATTTATTATTATTATTATTATTATTTTTTTTTTTTTTTAATACGACGATCAAAATTTATCAATTACGATTTGTTTTTCTTTCTCTCTCTCTCACTCTCTCTCTCTCTTTTTTCTTTTTCTCTAAAGGCATACCGATCAAGACGGTACCAAATACAATTCTTTGAAGTCACCCGTTAGAACGGAATTGCCAATGGAAATGCAAAGAAGATCTCAGAATCAGGAATACAATTTTATTCAGGACAACGCATTGGTTAAGTATCGTGAGATTAATGCGAAGGATATACGTAGATTGGAAGAAAATTTCAAATTTAAATTACAAAATCAACGTGACGAGTTCACCAAGCTTTTAACAACGAAGTTCATTAAACTTTGGAAAGCCTTCGAACAGTTTAAGCATAATTTTCAATTCGATCGAAGACATAGGGATTACGATTATGCAAGAATATGCGATGACGAGCAAGAAATTTTTAACTCCTTGGTAATGACCGAGGATCATGCCGAGGAGGAGCAGGAGGAGGAGGAGGAAGAAGAGGAGGAGGAGGAGGAGGAGAAGAAGGGAGCCGATAACGCCAACAATAATAATCAAGATGATTGTAGAAAAACAAAGACTCCGGGAAAAAGATGATCTCGTTGTTTCTTTCTTTCTTTCTTCTTTGTTTGTTTGTTTGTTTGATTTATTATGAAAAAAAAAAAAAAAAAAAAAAAAAAACAAAAAAAAAAAAAAGAGAAAGTAAGAAAGAAAGGAAGGAAAAAAACAAATAAAAAAAAAAAACAAATATATATTAATGAATGCATACACATTTTTATTAACTCTATTAATGAATTTTATATATTTACAAATAAATTTTAATATTTAGATATATTTTATTACTATATCATATAACAAAGTGACGTCGTATTGATATCATTTTCTTTTCTTTTCTTTTCTCTCTCTCTCTCTCTCTCTCTCTCTCTCTTTTTTCTTTTTTGCTTTATTTATTATTATAATAAAGAAAAAAAAACGAGAATAAATGCGTATTAATAAATATATGCATACATTTTTATTATCTGCATTAATAATATATTAATTATATACCAATAATATATTTATGTTATTTATATATTTTATTTATATATTATTTATATATCAATAAATTGTATTATATACAGTGATTTTAATAGTCCATTCGAATTTTTTAAGAAAATTAATATATATAAAAAATAGATAATGATATTGATAAAAAATAAATATATTCTTCTCACAAATTTCTTTCTAAAATAATAATAATAATAATAATAATAATAATAATAATAATAATAATAATAATAATAATAATAATAATAATAATAATAATAATAATAATAATAATAATAATAATAATAATAATGATAATTATTATTATTATTTTTTATTTATCTTCTGTTTATGATATTTCAAGAGATTAATTTTTTATATCAATAAATACATTCTTTTCACAAATTTCTTTCTGAAATAATATTAATAATAATAATAATAATAATAATAATAATAATAATAATAATAATAATAATAATAATAATAATAATAATAATAATAATAATAACAATAATAATAATAATAATAATAATAATAATAATCTTCTGAAATATATTCATGATATTTCAGAAGATTAATATCTTATCTCTTTGTCTATTGGTTATCAAGGTGCGTGTACAAATTCTCTCTCGTGTTTCTCGTGTTCACGGAGGATGTCCAACGTGACGTCGGCGGTTCGCAACGCGTGCAACGTCCTTTCGTCCAAGCATAATGCGTTGCATTGCACGATCCGGTACGATTTTCATCAAGGAATCGTCGTCTATGTACTTCCGTAAAGTACACATATTATATATATATATATATATATATATATATATATATATATATATATATAGATAATATATTATATATTAGACGTATACCTACTCTCGTATTTCCCAATCATCAATAATTCAAATTTGATTTATTCACTTGAATGTTGCAAGAATTATATTGTTTTTTGTATTTTACAAATATTAATACTGTTATTTTTTAAATAATTATTATCATTTATTTTGTTAATATATTATTATTATTATTATTATTATTATTATTACAAAATTCTTATTGTGTTTTACAATAAATAATTATCAATTTGGGAAATGTATAATGTCAAAATTTATCAATATTTTTGTTAATATATCTAAATAATTAATAAAAATAATTAAAGTTTTTTTTCTTTTTCAATATTCTAACAATCGAATAACAATCATTGATATTATTCATTTAAATTTTAATTTTTTAAAAATATTTTTTATATTAAATTATTACACAATTTATATACAAAAATAATAATCTTTTATATATATATATATATATATATATATATATATATATATATTAAATGACATTTCGCAATTTTTTTTTTCTATTTAAATAAACGCGACCTATTATTATTATTTATATATCCAAAACAAAAGAAAAATCTTATTAAATGACTTATTATTTGTCTCGATATATTATATTTAATGATTAATAAAAATCTCTCAAATATTATAATCGATTATCGAAGTATATATTGTATGAATATATCGAAGGGAATAACGTTAGGTTAACGCAAGTAGAGCAGGAAAGGCAGAACGAAAAGACATTCTCTCTCGGTGTTTGTCGTGGTGTTTCTGTTTTGCGAAGAAACTGGAAGGACAACCATGTCCAATCGGATTCTTCGTGGGAAGTGTTACCTTCTGCCATTACTTCTCTACTATTCTCTACTATAGCAAACCCGATGTTCCTCGTCGTCGAATCGATACAAAAAGAAAATCCTTTTCCCTCATCGTTACAACGTATATATAACAAAATATGTACATTAGCTGTGATATATAATCGATATCACCTAACTCAAATTTTACTCTTCGATATAAAATATTAATAACAACAACAACGACAACAACGACAATAACAAAAAAAGGATACATATATTGGTCAATATAGTATATTACAGATAAATTATAGATAATTATATTTTTTTATAATATATTAGAAAATTATAAAAAGTTATTAGTACGTAGATATTAATTTCAATTATTCGTAATTGCATTGGAAATGAAATAAAATTGATTGAAAGTGAAAATGAAAAATTTGAAATAAAAATTTGAAATAAAAATAAACTTTAGCGGATCGTATTTTAGTTTTATATGTGTATTGAAAAAAAGAAAAAAAAATATATATATATACATATACATATGTCGATTGATAATGAATTAAATAGTTCACCCTATATACAAACGTACAATATATAAATGGTATTTTAAAATTCAAATAAATTTGTTTATAAAAATAAATTTTAATGTTTCGTACGTAACATTGAAAATAAATAATATCGATTGATAATGAATGAAATAATTTATATTAAATATAATTGTATTTAAATCGAAATAAATTCATATGAAAATATAATTTCAACTTTGATAACATGTTATTAAAGTAAATTATATCGATTTATAATAAATCAAATGATTCATCCATTATATAAGATGTATAATATTTACGTATATTATAATGATACACAATGATCGCGATTATATCTTTTATCCTTTTTTTTTTTTTTTTTTTTTTTTTTTTTAAGATACATCGATCCTTTTCTAAACACTTCGTTTTTTTCTCTTTTTATCTTCTTACTTCTTTTTTTTCTTCCTTTTTTTGTTTTTTTTTTTTCTTTCTTTCTTTCTCTTTATTCTTCGTGCCTTAGCATTATTAGGCGGATTAAATTGTCGAGTTTGATTTTCTAAATCGTTCGAGAAGTCTAGATCCTAAGAGTATAGAATCGATCTTCGATCGCGTGACAATAAAGGAACGCAAATCGAACGAATGGAATGAAATTACTCTTTTTCTTCTTTCACGGAATACAAAGTAAATGTTGTTTTTTCTTTTTCATCTTTCTTCTTTCTTCTTTTTCTGTTTTTTTTTTTTTTTTTTTTTTTTTTTTCTTTTTTTTCTTTCTCTTTCTTGTTCTCATTTAATTCCCACCTGTTATTTCAAAGAGAATTTAAGACAAAATTCGTTCACCTTGTCGTAATTTCCTGGGAATTAGTTTCTCTCGTTTGTAACAGGACGAAACGTTGATGGTGAATTAAAGGATTTTAAAAAGGTTTTTACTGTTACCATAAATTGATACAATTTAAGCTTGTATCGAAGATACAATTGATTGATACAATTATTGTATCGAAGAACGTATATATATATATTCTTTTTTCTTTTCGTTTTTTTTTTCCTTTATTACGTATCGATCGTTTCGGAATTTTGTATGAAAAAAAAAAAAAAAAATTTGAATATTTCTTCTTTCCTATCTTTCTTTTTCTTTTTTTTTTTTCTTTTTATATAGAAAATTTTTTAAAAGTTAGAACTTTTATTTTAAAAAAGAAACAAAGTAATTATTTACACGATCACGAGACATTATTATAATATATTTATTTATTTATCGTTCTATGTCGATCGAGCTAAAATTTGAGCGTAAAAGTGGGATATAGGTGTATTGAAAAAAAAAAAAAAAAAAAGAAAAAAAAAGAAAAAGAAAACAATTAGAAAACGAAATAAGTATATACGAAAGGAAACGAAAAAAAAAAAGGAAAGAAGAAAATAATAAAAACGAAAATCTCATGTTAATCAAAAATTATTATACCCGATTTATTTGTTTATTAATTCCTTTTTCCTCTTTTATAATTCAGAAAATAATAATAAATTTCAGACGAAAAAAAAAAGAAAAAAAAAAAAGAAATGAATAGAAAAGAAATAGATAAAAATAAAGTCCATTGCATATCGATCATATCGACTATAATTGATCGACTATAATTGATGATCTGTAATCGAACATTGAACATCCTGAATTAGTAATATCAATGCTATATTATTTTGTATTGTGTAAAAATTGTGAAATTGTATGAAGAAAAAAGGAAAAAAAAAAAGAAAAAGAAATGGAAGGAAAAAGGAAAATGAGAAAAAGAAAAAGGAAATAAAAAAATCATGTTAATAACGATCGTATTTTGTTTTTATCACAAATAACTATATATATATATATATATATATATATATATATATATATATGCATATGTATATGACCTATTTATCGTTTTAATTATTTTCTAACTTATCGAATCGTTTCTATAATAGCTTTTATACGTCGGTGTAATTATATATATAGAAATATTACATATATGTATACATATACGCACAAACATATACATATACACATACATATATATATAAAATATTTCCACATACTATATGAGTCCTACGGAATAGCTAATTAACGAAGATCCCGGTCGATCGGGAATGATCTTAATTATTCGAAGACACCGTTCGTCCGATATTCCGTTTCAATGGCCGACTCCGTAAGGATCGCATAGAAGCATAGTATAGACGTACTAGAAGGGAAAGAGGAAAGATCTAGGAAGGAGCCGTTATGCGAAACATCTCGATTACTTGCGAGAGAATCTGTCCACCGTATACGAAGATGTCTAAACCGCGAAACGATAAATTCTGTCTCGAGGTCTTACATATGTATCTCGATATATATATATATATATATATATATATATATCATATCATTTATATATACATATATGCGTGTACATGCGTGTATCTGTATGTGTCTTTGACTTTTCAAAAGTAGGTCATCTTAAGATTCTTCTTACGACAAGATTATATCGATAATTACGAGATATAATATTCTTTTCAAATATCGATATTTACATAATACGAATTATGTAATAAATACGATATATATATATATATATATATATGTATGTGTAGTTTTTTTGAATAAAACATTTGATTAAATTAAGACGAATTATTGTGATAAGAGTAATTAATTTTGAATTAAATTTAATTTTAAATCGTTCAGTTGTGATAAAACGTCTAGACTAATTTAAACGCCAAGAGCCTAATTAAAGCCTAATTATTATTATTATTATTATTATTATTATTATCATCATATAATATGTTTAATTAAAAGGAACGGAAAGTATGATACTTTTATATATATTTATCTGTCTGTGCTTTATCGCGACGAGATTATTTGTATAATAATTATATTATGCAATATTTCTTTGATGTATGAAAAATATTTATACGTCATACGAATTATAACAAGGTAAATACGCACATTGTTTACCTTGTAATATTTTAAAATAAAATTTTTATTAAATTAAAACGTATCATTGATACGAGTCATTAACGTAGAATATAATTAAATTTTTATAGGATTAATTTAAATCTTATCGATTATTATATAACGATTAAATCAATTTAGATATAAAAAAAAAAGATGAGCTTAATTATTATTAATATGTTTTATATTTGAAAGGTACGAAAGATGTCAATTCTTTTTTTTTTTTTTTTCTCTTTTTTTTTTTCCAAACATTTTTTCATACTCCCTACGATATTAACGATACAATTAAACGATGAAATAATATCGCTTTTGAAAAAATTCATATTTAAATAGATAATACGAATTATTGCGAACAAATATGATATATCGGATATATATTAAATTTAATGCTAATATATCGACAAAATCTTAATGATTACGAATTCGATAAAATATTTAAAAGGAGAAATTTATATCACGTTAATTATTATATAACGATTAGATTGATCTTCGAATAAAAAATTAGATCGTTCATGATTAAAATGTATTTATTTAATGGATAAGACAAAAAGAATAATCGAAGGATATTTTTTGAAGATTTCATCATGAAATCGAAAGAAAGAAAAAAAAAAAAAAAAAGAAAGAATAAAAAAAAAAAGAAAAAAAATTCCTTTCAATAGAATTTTTTAAGATTCCACATGAAAACATTTGTTTCATTCTTAATCATAACAATCGTATATTGTGATTTCTTTTTTCTTTTTTTTTTTTTGTCTTTCTTCTGTTCGTTCCTTTCAACAAAATAAAATATTTAAAAAAGCCATTTAATTTCCTTTACGTTCTTTATATCCTTTATTTTATAGTCCATTGGTATTTAATTTATTTTGTTCGTTTATATTCGTTCTATCATTAAAGGAAGTTAAAGTAGAATCGAAATATTTTCGTGCTCGTAGTACGAACGATTACTATAGAGGAAATTTACGTCTTCCTTTAAAATGAAGAAGACGAAGAAATAGAAGAAATAGAAGAAATAGAAGAAATAGAAGAAGAAGAAGAAGAAGAAGAAGAAGAAGAAGAAGAAGAAGAAGCTTCAGGGCTTGGACGCGTTATCGGATATAAGTTTGCGTGGAAAAAAAGTTAAGCGTTCCGTAAAGTTGTCGGTACTCGGTAATTAACCCGTTCGGGGCTGTCGCTCGATTCATCTAAATCCGAGCATAGAAGCGTACGAAGCACGTCGAGTCTAACGTTTCTTCCTTCTCACGACTCAACTACCAGTTTGAGATTATGTATTCGATAGAGAGAGAGAGAGAAAGAGAGAGAGAGAGAGAGAGAGAGAGAGATAGAAATACAATATTTATTAGATTAGACATGTGACCTTTCAAAGATTTAAGATATATAGTGTTAAATAAAATTATCTCGAAATCTAATCTTTAATAATGTTATATCGTTAAGTATTACGTTAAGTAAATTAATTAAGTATAAATATATGTATATATTAGGGGGACAGAAAAATAATGTCGTTTCTGTGCATGTCGATATTTGATTGTTAAAAATTGTTAAAAATTGTTAAAAATTTATTCGTTTGAATTTAATTGAAGAAATCGACATTACTTTCCGATCCAACTAATACATATATATATATATATATATATATGTATATATGTATTTATATATTTTTATGTATTTATAATCATTTTTATACGTATGTATAAATCTTCTTGAGTTAATGAAAATAGATAATAATTAAAAAATAGATAATAATAATAAAAAGTAGATAATACAATTAAATTTTGTGTTAATCTAAATTAATTTGATTTAATATAATCTAATTTTATAATTTAATAGATATATACTTCGGTATATTTTATATATCATTTTATATATAATTTTTTCTATATTTTATCTTTGAAAATATAAAAGAATAGAAATATATTTGTTTCTAATCTAATTTCATATATTTCATTATGTTTTTACATAATGCAGATATACGGTATAATTTTACATAACGATAATAATTTTTCATATACATTATATAATATATATATATATATATATTTTTTTTTTTCTTTTTCTTTTTCCTTAATTTTCAATCGTAAAAAAAGAAGAAGTATATCTGTAAATAAATATAAAAGTAAACATGAGAAATAAAATTTTTGATAATGACTTTTTTATTCTCATTTAAATTGATTCAAAACAATTTTAATAGAGTCTGATTTTAATATCTGAATCTTTTTCAAGTGCGTATGTTAAGCAAGTATGCGATTTAATATATCGTGTCTGTCGACGAACACGAGACCCGTACATGTTTATGCACGCGTCACATAACGCATGACGTATGGTTTGTACACGCGAGCCAGCCTTCACAATTTACTTAATTACGAGCAGACCGTTAACGTTAAAGTACCGTTTGTCAACTTTCAATGTCGACAGCCGTCCGTGACTGTTTTATAAGAGGGGTAGTGATGATGGTGGTGGTGATAGTAATGATGATGGTAGTAATGATGACAGTGGGGAAGAAAGGATAGACGGGCCAAGATATTAACTATGTAGGTGTATATTGAAAATTTACGATCAAAATTTTCATGGATTTAAATTTGCTTTTGAATGAAAGAAATTTTCGATGGAAGATCCGTAAGAAAAAAAGAAAAAGAAAAAAAAATATAATCATTATTGCGATCGATTATATTATCATCGTTAATATTTCATTATAAATCGAGAAACTTTTTAAATTATTCCAAATTGAAAATGTCCATTTACGTCATTACGTTTTGATCTTTGATAATAGTTGATCATTTTTTTTCTTATTTTTTTTTTTTTTTTTTTTTTTTTTTTTTTGTAATATAATAATATCTTTACGTGATAATATTATATCGGATATGTATACAATTTATATGTCATTATTCGAATTATTACACTATAATAATATATTATACATATATATACATATATATATATATATATATATATATTATATATATATATATATATATATAATTATATTTAAAATTAATATTCGCTTGAATAATTATATCCAATAATAATAATATTAATTAAATGATTATATTAAACGAAAGATTAACTCGACTTATGGTATGTATAATCTTTTGTATTAATAAAAATAGATAATAATAATAATAATAATAATAATAATAATAATAATAATAAAAAGTAGATAATATGATTAAAATTTGCGCGAATTTGAATTACTTTGATTTAATACAATAGATATAATTTAATAGATATAAAATGCATTGAGAGTATATGATAAAATATAAAAGTATAATAAATGATGGAAGACGACAATCGAAGGAACTTTATCAATTATGATAAAAGAAAAATCGATGACGTTTATCTCGTAGACTTCTCGCCTTGGGATGTTGGTATTTGAAACAAAACAAACCAAGAAAAAAAAAAGAAGAAAAAAAAACTGATGAAATAAAAAAAGAAAAGAAAATCTCGAGACGTTCTTACATCGATCGAAAAAAATATTATTAAGGCTCGTCCTCAATGATTATAATATATATATATATATATTATACCCATATAATATATAAACATATTACATGTATATATATATGTAAGTGTTGAAATGGAATATCATAGTAAGTATCATCGAATCATCCTACGTTGCGATCTAAGCTAAAGAACAGCTCGATCATTCGAAGAATAGATCTGATCGGATCTAACGATATCAGTTCGTGATGAGGATTAATTGAAGAACACGCGTGCTATGACACCTTCGATCCTTCGTCGAATGACAGTCTATCGATTCCTTGCTTCTCCCCTCCTCGTCCTCCTCCTCCCTAGCCCCCTTCACCACCTATCTCTTCTTTCTCCTCCTTTTTCTTCTATTCCGTTATACGTTTAGATATTAGATTATTTTACATTTACTCGAGCTTCTCTCATTTCTTAATAATTCATAGATTAAAAGATGTATGTAATACTTCAAAGATTAATTTTTTCTTATTTCTTAGATGATTCGATCATTTTCCTAAGGATCAACAATGAAAATATAAACTTTTTATTAACTTAATTAATATAATAAGATATAATCGTTGTTTTATATCGAACTCAATTATTATCATTATTTTATTGATAATTAATTATATATCTGATACTTTATATATATATATATAATAATGATAATAATTAAATAAAAATAAAAATAAAAATAATGATAATAATTGATTCGATATAAACAACGATTCTGAACTTTCAATACGATTTCCGACTTTCAAAATATACGTCTAAATTAATTGGATTACGTACAATATATTAATACGAATTTCTTACGATTACGATTACATATAAATAATTATAAATGTATAATATAAATATTACGATTAATATTACGTTAAATATTAAGATATATTTACGAGATAAGATGAGTATTTATTAAATTTATTACGAGTATTTATTAAAAATTTTTCATATTATTATTCAATATTTATTAATTGATACGATTTATGTTGCAAACAAATAATATATGAATAATAAAATGGAATAAATTATATCTGAATAAAAGAGAAAGGTTTATGAAAAGGGGTTCGTTGACCCCTTTTTCTTTCAGGGTCAAACCCGTGACAGTCGAGGGTCGACATAGTTCGAGCTTGAAAGATATTAAACACGGGTCACTCGATCCAGCACCTTTATTTCTTACTTCCCGATCGAGTGGATCGGTAATACCAAAATGTCATCTCACGGTCCAACACTCCAGCGGTCAATCGTTCGTCACGAACGACTTGCCGACTTTACGGACAAATTCATCCGGTACCGCCAATGGGGTGCTTCCTCTTAATGACACGCCTTTTCTTTTTCCAAGGACAATCCTATTCCGCTTGTCTCTCTCTCTCTCTCTCTCTCTCTCTCTCTCGTCTTCATTTTTATCTATCTCTTTCTCTCTTTCTTTTTTTTTCTACCTACCTATCTATTTATCTCTCTCTCTTTCTCTTTGTCTCTCTCTCTCTTTCTCTTTGTCTCTCTCTCTCTTTCTCTCTCTCTCTCTCTCTTACTCTTTCGTCTACATTTTTATCTATCCCTTTCTCTCTGTCTCTCTGTCTCTGTCTCTCTCTCTCTCTCTCTCTCTTTCTCTCTTTGTCACACTAAGAATGAAATTGAAACTTTTAAATGCCATCGATAGTGGGTGGTCCAACTATGAAACTAAAAAATTAAAGAAGCAGAAATAGATTATGATCATTGATCCATTGATCTAAATAATTTCAATATATATATATATATATATATTTTTTTTTTTTGTCCACTTCTTTCTAATTCTTTCGAATTCTTCCTTTTTTCTTCTTGTTTTTGTTTTATTTTGTTTTTCCTATTTTTTTTGTTGTTTTTTCTTTTTCTTTTTTTCTTTTTCTTCTTAATCTTCGTCCTCCCTTCCCTCCCCCATATCTTCCTTCATTCATGGAAAATGAACGTTGTATATAAAAGGACATTTATTGTTCTTTTAATTTTTTTCTATACTCCGATAGGATATATATTTATCGTACGTATAATTAATTAAACATATTTTTTCTTTTAGGTTTATATCGTCAATGTTGTCTCATCGTTCATCCGTTTTGAAGGTATATAAATGTAAAATAAAATTTTATTTATCGTACGACTATAATTAACGTGTTATACATAAATATATATATATATATATATATATATATATATACATATAATATATATGTATACATATATACAAGTAAAAATTCGTTGTCGTACAATTTGGAGAGAAAGAGAGAGAGAGAGAAAAAAAAGGAAGAAAGAAAGGAAGAAAGAAAAAAATATATTAACCCAAAAGGATCTCAATTGTCTATAAATAAAATCAATATCTACGAATGTTATAATTGATTTTTGAGATTTAATCTTTAATCTTTTGTCATTTTTTATTTTACTATTATTATTATTTTTTCCTTTTTTTTAATTTTCTTTTACTATTATAACATTAATCTAATCTAATAGAAATAATAATAAAAAAAAACAAAAAAAAAAAAAATAACGTTACATCGATGAATAATTCGACGATTCGTTTAAATCGAGGAATTGCATTACTTTGGAAGACCATAGATTAGAGATCGATTCGTATCTATACGAGATAAATCGACTGTCGTTGAAATTCTTTTAAAATTCCATTGGAAGATATTTTCTTTTAATTCGATTTGCATAGATATTACATGAGCACTACGGGTTATCAAAGTCCGTCGAGTAGATCGGCAGGTTGTAATTAACAACTTACGGAATGTAGAATGGATTTTCCGGAGGATCGATAGATCGATGGATCGTTGGGATCATTATGCGGTATTGGCCTTATCCTTACAACGATCGATAGAGAAAAATAGATAAATAGATATATGTATGTATGCGTATGTCTATGTGTGTGTGTGTGTGTGTGTGAGTTAAGTGTATCTCTGTGTATTTGTAAGAGAGTTAATGCAATTAGGGTGCAAGCAATTCGACTTTCAAAGAGAAAAGTGAGATGGAGCGAACATTCGAGAAATGAGAAACGATCGAACCGTGACAATAAACGACCATGAAATCTTTACCATCCGTATGTACTACTTCTCTTTGTCTCTCTCATCCATTTGCTCACTATCCCTCTCTCTCTCTCTCTCTCTCTCCTTTCTATGTTACACATATTTAATTCTTAATATTATTAATATTTTTTCTCTCATAGAATATTTATATTTTTAAAATATTTATACATACATTTATAAAATATTTATATATACATAAATAAATAAATAAATATATATATATATGTATATATATGTAACATATATAAAATATTATATATATTTTTAATATACATTTTTCTCATATATCCAGAAATTTGTATAAAATATTTATATATGTATATATATATATATATATTTTATATATATTTATTTTTTTTAAATATTTATATATATATTTTTTTATAAAATATTATATATATATATATAAATAGTTTATAAAAAATTAAATTATAAATTGTCTCTTCTGTATTTCCATTTTTCTTTATCCTCTTGTTCATTTTTTTTTTTGTTTTGTTTTATTATGAGGTGAAATCAAAAGTCCTTGAGCGATTTTTAGAATCGGTCCCTATTTCTCGAGACCCCCCTCTCTTTTTTTTTTTTTAGGTTTGTCATTAGGCTTCTAGTTCTTTTTTCTGTTCTTTTTCTTTCTCTTCTTTTTTTTTTTTTTTTTTTCTTTTTTTCTTTTCTTTTACAAGTCAGGGATTCGTTGTTTCACAAAAAGAACAAGAAAAAAAAAAAAGAAAAGAAACATTACCTCGAAAGATCCCGATAAAGAGTAATTGATTTTTAGAATCATCTAGGAACTTTTGTTACCACCTGTACCAACACAAAGAGATCTATTATTTGTTTTTGGTCTTATTTTTCTTATTTCCTTTTTCTTTTTCTTTTTCCTTTTTTCTCTTTTTCTTTCACCGTACTCCGTCTTAGCCTTCAAAAAACTTCGTTTCGAACGGATATTCTCGTTCGTGGAGGTCTCTTGAGATAAATAGACAAAGAAAAAAAAAAAAAAAAAAGAAAAAGGGAAAAAAAGAAAA